CTAGTGACTGTCAAATCTACCCCTTGCCTTGCTTCCACCCACATCCAAAGTGATGCAACAGTGAACTCTTCTGACGGGTGAGCTAACCATGAACAAGAGTCTACCACCCCTTCTTGGAGGCTAGGCGCATTCCGCAGAAAATCATTAAGTTTGTGCACTATAGTGAGTATTTATTATTACCTTTAATCGACATGAATGCACGTGCTCCTCTTGGTGAGTGAAAACCTTAGGGGGGAAATCATTGGTTATGTAACGAGTAGAAAATGTGCTAACCTATACCCTTGCCTTTCAATGCTAGCGTCTGGATGATGCAGTAAGTGGTGCTAGAGAGAGTTATGGAACTATCTATTAATACAAAAATTAGTTGGGGTAGCCTTCCTTTATAAGTCTTCTATGTTTAATTGAAATGGTAGTTAGTATCACCATACTGTGACCTCGTTAGTTAAGAAAATTAAATCCTCGTTCTCATTTCAAAAAATTTGTTAAGTGGTTTGGGTGTAATGGTCTTAAAAGTAAGAGTTTGACTTTAGTCTTGATTGCCTTTCATTAATTTCTCATGCTAAATTAGTCGCCTATGAGTGCGGGTAATTGTAATTTTTGGGTAAGAAAATTATTTCTTAATGGTTGATCTAATGATGCAATCTTGGTTTTTTCAATTCCACCATGGGTGTGGAAAGATTTTGGGTCACTAGTGTGTTAATCTAGCATGGTTATTGAGGCTATCCTTGTGTATTCGACTTACAGTGGATAAGAATAGTTTTGATTTTGAAATGATTTATAGTTCTCCTACTTTTGATTAATTAAGATAATTTAAATTCTAGATTTAGCTGTTATCTTTAAGATAGTTTTCTTGTAATTAGTTGGGAAATTTTTGACTAGATAGAAGGTGTGACTCATCATTGAACTAAGATGTTGGGTTGTGATTTAAGGAGTAGGAGTATGTTGTTGACTTCAAGGAATGTACCATGTTGTGCAGTTATAGGTAGATGATTTTCCTTGCGTGGTGTGTTACTTATTGTTGTGGCGTTAGTAGAGGTTGACAGGGAGTCACCTCAGAACTTGTCTTAAGCTTAGAAATGAAGCATGTGAATGAGAATTGCTTGGGGTTGGGTGTGTGTGTGTGTGTGTGTGACTCACGGGAGTGATAAGTCATGCTAATTGCATGATAGTTGTTTATAGTGGGTTGCGTGTGACCCTTATGATAGGGTTGTTGCGAAAATTGTTTTTGCGAGTTTGAAAATTTTGATGGATCGTCAATAGATTGTAATGGCAGCTGTGAGGGAAAGTGATTCCCAAGCTTAAAAGTGAACCTTATTTGTTGTTTTACTTAATATTATCGATATTGTTTTGAATTGTTGTTACTTGCATTATTGTGATTAGGGGATGAAATTAGCGTGATAGTGATGAGATTGTTGGTTGGGTGACGACTGGATGTTTCACTGGTTGAAGTGTTTTGAGAAAAGAGTTGGGAATGAAATTTCCTATTGATTATGATTTGGTTTGGTCGGAATTGGAATTTATTGTTGGGAATGTGAAAAGGAATAAAAGAAGATAGTTATGTAGAGATGTATTGAGCCATATAATTTCTATAAACCTTAATCGTTTTCAAATAAAATAATATATATGTATATATATATATATATAAACTAAAAAGAATATAAAAAAAATTGTCTTTTATTGATGCTCGGTTTGGATCTAAACATTTTTTTTATATAAAATTTTATAGAAAAGAAGAGATACTTTATATTCTAGTAGTGAGTAATTTTTTTAAGGTGTTATTGGCTGTTAAATATTTTGAAAACTCAATTGTGGAATATGTGGGCATTATTTGCTAGCCAAATTGCAAGTGCCTAGACTATGGTAAATTGATTCGTTAAGACTTGCCTCACGGAGAAACCATATTGGCGAACTATATATCTTATATAATTCCTTTCCTTTCTTGCAAGAATGGGTTGAGGACTTCTTAGTATGAAGCGAAAGTTTATTTTGTGAGGTTTTGGTTATTGTGCGACCATAGAGTTATTTCCTTGCATGTGAATGTGTTTGGGATGCACGTAAGGTAGGGCATACCAATGAGATCTTTTGCTTGATTTCTAATCTCGTTGACACGATGAGTTCTTGTGATTATTAGAAGCATTCATGTTTATTCTTGCCTAATCTTGCCAACCAGGGACCTATACATAACGAGAGCCACTCATTTTGATGGAGGGAGCCTTTGTAATCCTTGTGAATGAGTTAGTGGAAAGACTCACCATTTAGCGTTGTTACTTGTATCAGTTGGAGTGTCATTCGGTGTGAGTTATGAATAATGCAAATATGAAGAGTCACATCGTTTGGAGGAGGGCTACACATGGTTGGTTAGTATTTTTAAACAAAAGGAAAATAAAGAGACACCAGAGAGTATTATCAAAGAAATGTACAATTTTACGGTTTGGATTCTCTTAAATTGGTCATCTAACTTGAGAGAGTTTTTGAGTTTGGTAGGCCTATTTTGTTGCAGACCTTAGTGATCAGAACCAATTAATTTTTAGTACTTGTTGAGTAAAACATTCATATAAAAATTTAAAATTATCAAACATTAGTAACTATATATTTTACTCATATTTGTTTTAAAAAAAATAAACGAGAATTATAATTTCGAAAGTAGTCATCTATTTTTTGAAATACAGATGTGATTAAAACATATAACTATTGATATCCGATCATCTTAATTTTTGGTAGGGCGAATTATACTAATGGTCCCGATAATTTGAGGCTTGTGTCCTTTTAGTTCCTAATTCTTCAATTGTGACACATTTGACCATGAATTTTGAATCTTGTTCCAAATAAGGACAATTGAAGATACCATTTCAAGGGCAAAATCATTAATTTGATAAAATATAAACTAATTTGACAAAAATAAATGTCAAAAAAATATTTTAAAATTTTTAAAAATTATTGCTATCCACTAAAGATAAAATTATGTAAAATTGATAAATCTCTTAAACATTTATTTATTTTATAAAATTAATTTTTATTATGTGTTTGGATGGCGATCATGTAATGGTTAGTTGTTTTTATTTTCATTAAATTAGTTTCTATTTTTTTCAGAAAGTCAAATATGACGACAACTTTGATATCATTATTAAAATTCAAATATGACCACAACTTTGATATCATTATTAAACCAATTAATTAAATCAAAAAATCCAAAACTAAAAATATTTCATATATTAAATATATAGATTACACATTAAAATCTTAACAACCACCGATTACATAAATATCATCCATACACATAATAAAAATTAATTTGGTAAAAAATAAATAAATGTCTAAAAGATTTATCAATTTTACATAATTTTATCTTTGGTTAGTAGAAATAATTTTTAAAAATCTAAAAATATTTTTTGACATTTATTTTTGTCAAATTAATTTATATTTTATCAAATTGACAATTTTATCCTTGTTTTTAAGTAATAGTATCTTCAATTATCTGTATTTAGAATAAGATTCAAAATACAGGGTCAAATGTGTCACTATTGAAAAGTCAAAGACCAAAGTGACACGAGCCCCAAACTATAGGAGCTGTTAGTGTAATTCGCCCTTTTTTGTATATATTCTACTCTACGAGCGTTTGAAAGCTTTGTTTCGCAAGATAGGGGATGCAAAACAAGTTTTTAGCTCACTAAAAGACAAAATAGATTAAAATGGTAATAAAATAAAATGTTACATTTAAACTATAATCATTTCCTTTTTTTTTTTCACAAAACTACAAAAAAAAAGTCAACATTTCATTCCCAATCAAACTTTTTAGTCATATTAAAATAGTCAAAAAAATCAGAAAATCAAGTTAAAAAAATTATTTCCAAACGAAGGCTTAAAAGTAGTTCTTTAAGCAGTTCAAAGTACCAATGTTGGTCCTAAAATAGGTATACCAAATCCAAACGCTCTCTCAAATTGTCCAAACCATGTACTAAATTTATGTACAATTTTTATTTAATTATTTGTATAGTATTTCTCCCCAAGGAAATCATACATGAAGTATATCTTTGCTGGTGTGATGTGGACTACTCTTCTTAACGTGAATAATGCTACATTGCGTCAAAAAACACTGCAATTAATTCCTTAAAAATCTAACCAAAAAGAAAAGTGAAACTTCAAAGAAAATAGTTGGCAAGTTTGACCAGGAAACCATCAAAAATGTTTTCATTCATTGTTATTTCTTTTAATTCAATAATTATAATTCGAGGAAATTATGTTAGTAGTCTCTGTATTTTGATTATTGTGTCATTTTGGTTTTTATAATTTCAATTGACTCAATTTTCAACATGACTTTATGAATTTTTCTCAATTTAGTCCAATTGATTACAATTATTAACAGTTTTTATCAAAAAATATGCACATAAGTGACATATGAAACAGTTTAGGGATAAATTTATAAATTTGTGAGTTAACTTCAACCAATTTAGTGATAATTTTTCGTCAAAAATACTAATTAACAGTGCTATCAATTGGACCAAAATTACATAAAATCTAGAATTAAATATCAAGAGTGAAACAATTGAAAATATAACGACTAAAATAACATAAGAGGCAAAATATAAGCACTATCGGTATAATATGTCCTTATAATTCAGCACAATTGCGTTACTATATATTCTATTAAATATGTATTTTTATGTTGGGTAAATCACATATATACTCCTGAGATTTAATTAAAATACGAATCGTCCCCTGTGATTATGAAAATAACATTCCATCCCAGAGGTTTCTAATTTCATAACAAATCATTCCTTTATTAATAAATTATCAAATCAATTACAATTTTTAATGACATTAAAAATATGTTTCAATTAATAATTTATGTAATTTTATTATTGTATTGGAGAGCAATTATAAATTTTATTTTTTTTAATTAATTCTATTAAATAAGAAATTCTAACAATGAGATATTTGCAATTTTTCAAATCACCCGGGGGTGGAGAAAATTTATTTTAAGCAAATTTCAGAAGGTGTATTTGTAATTTATCCTTTTATTTTTTACACTATTTTCTTTTTCTCGAGAAATTACAAGGTAGAAAAATCCAACAAAGAATACTTTGTTCTCAAATCGTCTTATTTCTGTCTCCAACTCATAATCACCAGGTGATTGAAAATCTCAAGACAAATAGTCCCAAAACAAAATTCAATATTTTTGAAATCGAAAGACATAAATTTTGGGGATCGAATATCCCTGCCGAAAAATTAAGTACAATCAAGGGATCAAATACTTCATTATTAGTACTCATAAGAGATTTAAACTTTGAACTTTCTTTCAAGATTTGTTCATGTCCAAGGATGTTCCCAAGGCAAGCCAACATTGCTGCCATCAAAAGAAAAGCCTGAGTTATCATAGGGTGGATTTTGTTGTTGAGATTGTGATGTATCCATAGCTTGCATGCATTGCATGCTAACAAGCTCTGCTTGTGTCTTAGCCAATTCTGCTTGAAGCTCGGTAACTTTCTTGTGAAGCTGGTAAATTATGCCTGCACAACCATAAACCGGGTCTTTAATCCTAGCATTCGATTCATACACGATGCTGCTCACTGCATCTGCCCTTTGTGATTCTGGAAGTTCCTATATACATAATTACAATTTAATGCATTTAATAATGTTATATGTTAAAAAAAAAAAGAAAAAGAAAAAGAAAAATTACATAAATGTATTTGGTTTCACTTTTCAAAAAATACTTTTCAGAAAATTCTACTTTCTTATTTTCCGTGTTTTTTTGTTTTTACTGATTTTTTAAAAATATTTTAAGCAATTTTTTTTATTTTTTATTTTTAGGCATACCTAACTTAGGTGTATCTAAAAAGTAAAAAATTTGTGAAGAAATTTTTTTAAAAATTCACTAAATATCCAAAATATAAAAAAAATACGAGAATTCAGTATATTTTTTGTATTTTTATGTATTTATTAATTTTTAAAAATATTTTTTCACAAATTTTTTACTTTTTAGATACATCTAAGTAATGTGTATCTAAAAAGTAAAAAAAATATTTAAAATTTTAAAAATATTCACTAAAAACAAAAAAAATACAAAAATCAAAAAACTTAATTTTCAAAAAACTTAATTCAAAAAACTCAAACAAAACAGACTGATTGTGTTTCAAATATCTTTTATGTGCACACAACATTATCGTAAAAGTATTAATCAGTTTGACTTGAGGCAATGTTTAACCTTAAGAACTAAAGGCAGTGCTCAGCCACTTCACGATTAACGTGTGTGTGTGGGAGTGCATGGTACTCTCAATGAAAGGAAAATAATATATGAGTCAATTATTTTAACTTAATATTTAGATTTAATGATATGTAATAAAAATAATTAGTCAATAATTAAAGAAGATATATGAGAGCGCAAGAATTACTTTAGATATTTTGATTGATGGTCACATCATTTTATATAACACTAGTCTTAATAAAAAGTTCAAAAAAATTATACAAATATGATATACGGTTCAGTTTTATTATTTCAAATAATGTTGTACACTTATTTTTAAAATGATACAGTGATTTCCTAAAGAATAACATTCTTCAATCTCAAACATGCTTTTGAATTAAATTTTAAAAGTTCAAAACGACTTACACTTTGAAAATTTTCATATATATATAAATTTTGGGTACAAGACTATATTAAATATTTTTAAAGTCGTAAAATTTTCGAGGTAGTGAAAGAGAAACTAAGGAGGAGCCATGAATGAGACCAAATTAGCTTGAAAGCTTAAGAAGCATAATACCTGCAACAACTTGATGATGTTGCTAGCTCCAAAGACTCTGTGGGCAACGCTGAACCTAAATAGATCAGTAGGAGGAAAGTAGGGAGCCAAAAGACAGTTGCTGATGCAGCGACGACGCAGAATTTTGCAAGCACCACAAGGGCTCATAATAACACCACTTGAAGGAGGAGGAGGAAGAGGAGGAGATTGGGTTTTAGAAGAAGATGATGCCAATGGAGTCAATTCCATCTTTCTGGAGAGAGAGAGAGAGATTTGGAGGTGATGAGTGCTACGTAGGAGGAAGGAGGATGAGTTGCTTTGGGATATATAAACACAGAAAATAACATGGGACATCATTCAGGTGACAGAAATAACATGTGACATCATTCAGGTGATAGAGTAGACGGGTTAGTTAACAAGCAAAAATAACTTCAAATATTTTGTAATTCTTTATTTATAAAAATATTAGGAGAAATTATAATTTAGTGGTAATTTGTAAAAACTATTCACCATGTTGTTTCCACTTTTCATAAAAACACTTTTCAAAAAATTTTATTTTCTTATTTTTTTATTTTTACTGATTTTTTATAAATATTTTAAGCAATTTTTTTTTAAATATTTTTAGACATACTTAATATAAATAAATTTAAAAAGTACAATTTCTATGAAAAAAAATCTTTAAAAAATTCACCAAATACAAAAAATACTAAAAAATTCAAAAATTTAGTATATTTTTCGTATTTTTGTATATTTATTAATTTCTTAAAATAGTTTTTTCAAATATTTTACTTTTAGTTGTATCTAAGTAAAGTGCATCTAAAAAAGTAAAAAAAAAACTGGTATGTTACTTTTAAAAATATTTACTAAAAATAAAAAAACACGAAAATAAAAAAATTAGCTTTCAAAAAACTAAAAATAAACACACTGATTATAATTTTATAAAAAAATTATAATTTTTATTATTAATATTTACAATATTTATCACTTATTTATACTTATTTTTTTAGAATATTACTGGTATGTTATTTGCCCAAAATATAATGGAACAACAGTAAATATTACCCTAAAGTCTAATAATTTTCCGACATGAAGACACACGTGTCTTCCATTTGATGCACAAAATTTCGTTTAACGTGGCTGCTTGCTCAGCTTTAGGTCATTGTGAATACAAAAATAATATAAACAGTTTATCTTCTAGATTGTTATTTGTAAAAAAAATAATTAATCAATTATTAGATAAAATATAAGATAGAATTTTATTAAATATTTTAGTAACTGTCACATCATTGAATTTATAAGTGAGTATAAATTTTGGTTTAGAGTAGCGACTAGCACTACTCTTGCGAATATTGTTAACCTCGATTAAAAAATAGATTACAAACACCTTGTTTTGTTTTGATTATTTTTTGAACATTAAAGTTTTTAATTTTCGTATTTTTTTTAGTTTTAGTGATTTTTGTAATATTTTAAGTAAAAATTTACTTTCAAATGTATATAACTCAGATGTAACTGAAAAGTAAAATATCTGTGAAAAATATTTTAAAAAATTAATAAATTCACAAAAATATAAAAATGTATTGAATATATATATATATATATATATATTGTATTTTTTGTATTTGATTAATTTTTTAAAGATTTTTTCTGTAAATATTTTATTTTTGAAGTGTGTTTGGGTTAGGTGCATTTAAAAGATTAAAAAAAAAAAAAGCTTAAGATATTAAAATTGTTGAACAAAAAAAAAATACAAAATAAAGAACATGGAAAAACTCAATTTTTTAAAAAGTGGGCTTAATTTTCTGAAACTAAATACGGTAAAAAATAGTGTGAATGGCTATAAGTCGTAGCAATAAGTAGGCTAATTAGTGGTACTCATAATTTAATAGATCATAGTAAAATATTTTCAGTCAAAACTAAAGCCGATATAAGGTTTAAAGTTAAGAAAATTATTGAAAAGTCTAACCTAAAGAAAATATAAGGTGTAAAGTTAGGTGGATATTTTTTTATTGGTGAGAGATCCACCTTTTGTGAAATAGTTTAGTGAGAAATCTTTTTATTATTTTGAAAAGTATTTTATTTTCAATTTTATCCATTAATCTATTTGTTAAATTTTTTGGACTATCTGTTTAATTTTTTTTACTATCTATTCAATTTTTTTTCCTTATCTATTCAAATATCTGTCCAAATTTTATTATTCATTTAATTTTTTTGCTTATCTATTTAAATCTATCTGTGTAAATTTTATTAACTGTTCAATTTTTTGTCCTAAATTCTATCTGTTGATTTTTTTATCTGTTCAATTTTTTGTTATTGAAATACACCAAACTACTATATGTTCAAATTTTGAAGAAATTTGAGATTTTAAGATCTATTCAAAAGATCTATCCAAATTTTATCTATTCAAATTTTGAACAAAAATTGTCTATTTTTTTATAATCTGTTGCAATCTGTTTCATCGTCATCATCATCATCATCATCAATAATAACAATAATCAACAACAAAAATAATAACAACAATAAATTGAACAGATTTGAACCATTTTTGAACAAATCCGAACAAATCTTAGCCATTTTAAACAGATCTGAGCCATTTTGATATATTTGCCACTATTAAAACAAATTTCGTACATTTTATCCAAAATCCAAAAGCATGGAAAAAAGAAGAAAATCTTAACAACAGAAGATGATTTGCTCTGTCATGTCTTCACCAATTTGCTCTCCGTCACTACTGACGTCGTCGGAGTTCCATCGCCATGAGTTCGCTTTGAAAAGGAGATTTAATTGGTGTACTTCAACCTAGAGAAGGCGAGATCACGAAACCATAACAACAACAAGAAGCTAGATGGGGACTAGGAGGTTATGTGCCTCTCCTGGATTTTTCAATTATTTATTTTTATTTTTTTTATACATATGAATATAAATAAAATTTTAAACAAAAATAATATTTAAAATAAAATGTCAACGGTATTTTTTAATTTATGAAAACAGTAGTGATTGTTTTATTGAAAACGAAGTGACTGCAACAAATTATATTTGTATGTATAAAAATTTTGTGAAAAGAATCTCAATATAGAGGTAATATCCATCATTATTGATATGCAAATATAATTTATCTCACTATATATATGTGAAAATTACTAAAGTGTTAGTTATATTTGCATGTGGAGTTCACCTTTCATATGTCGCTTTACTATTAGTTGGTGATATCATATGTCCATAATGACGTGATATCACTATTATATGAAATTTTTACTCAAGTTTTGTACAAATTTGATTTATCTTACTGTAGACGTCCCCGAACGTCCCGGGAAAATCCCGTTTTGTCGATTGGACTTACTACAGTTCGGACTCAAATGTCACGGTTCTTAATTTCATCTCGCAAAGTGCAATACGGGATTGATAAATCACCAAAGAGTCCAAATCCGACAAATCGTTTTGAAAAACTGATTTTTAGAAAGAAGTGCCAAACATGGACTGCTTTGCCAGATACAGAGTCGCTACCTAAATATTTTATTTTGGGGGAATTTAGGAAACCCCGACTCAAGCCTAAGGCCACGTGTCCGTCATCACCAAAGTTGCCTCGGCTTAGGAACTTGGGTACGATTGGGAAAGGTCATGCAATGAGCACCCCCGCTCGTCCGATCAAAGATCGGCCACTACTAAACATGATATCTTGTTTTTGAAAATATATGTGCTCTTATTCCGGTTTATTAGCCTAGAATTGTTACGTGATGCGCACAACATACAAGTATAGACTGGATCGTCTAAGTTGGAACAAAACATCTTATGTTTGTTTTTTAAAGCGGTTTGCTACTCGCAAGTAGGCTAAAATACGGATTTTGCCACCCTTAAGTGGGCTTAGAAAACATGGTGGTTTGCCACTCTCAAGTGGGTTTAAAACTCGCGATTGATGAATTGTTCCAATTTAAATAATCCAACATTCACCCACAGGCAATCATATAGGTATATCACATAAGCAGTTAGCCTCATGGCAAGCATGCTATCATGGCAGTCACTCACACACATGCAAGGATGCTAAAGCATAAAAACTCACTGAGTACTCCGAGCCAAAGAAAGAAGGAACTAATTAGAAAATATGCATGAATCCTAACTATGCTGAGATGCCTAATGCAACACATACATGATGCAACTAAGATAGACTCGGCTATTCTAATGACATATGAGATGTTATAGATAACATGTATTCAACTTGGAATTGAATACAATACGTTAGTATGATGCGCCGACCGGTGCATGCAAGTCAGATGAATGGACGCAATCATGCAAGCATAAGGTGCTAATTGAAATATGCCCTAAAACTAACCATCATAAGCTGGTAATAAAAGGGAGAAAGATGTGGGTGGATGACATGCATCAACACACACGCCAACTTATTACAACAATTGGCCTCTCGACGGAGGGTCGGATAAATAATATAAACACCAACTAGCTAATCTAAGCTAATCTAATTAAGCTAGTTTTCATAACCAAAATGAATATAAATTACAGCTAATTATTACACAACTATAATTAATTAACAAACTAACTAAGTAAGCAATTAAACTAGCATGAAAACTACATGAATGTGGACTGCCTCAGCTCTGCCTTGAACGATAAAGGATGCATGCATGCTCGAGTCGCCTTGTCGGGAAATCCTTGCGATGCCCCGGCTGCCTTTAGTTTGCCTTGATTTCAGAACACTACACAAGGCCTATCCCAGAAGGCTGAAAACTTCTCCGTTAGCGCTTGTGGAATTGTCGCGTTGGAGGAGATTGGTGCCAAGCCTATTGGTCTGTTTGGGAACCGACCTGTCCAACCACTTTTGTGGGTAGAAACCAAAGGGTGGTCCGGCCTGCCAGAAGAGCTGGTCGGCCGATGACCAAGTTTTCTCTCTGGTTTCTTTTTTTCTGCAACAAGGAGCAAGAGAGAGGCTATGTTCAAGGTATTTCAAACATTTGTGTGCACGACCACTCTCCCGTATCAATTGCAATAAGCTCAAGGAGTTGTAAGTCCTCGACCCCGGCCACCAATCACGCAATTTGATGCATGATGGCCGAGAGCGATTAACACGACACATGTGAATGAATGCCACATATTAAACCTAAGCACACTCCCGTCATGGGTAATCAGAGTTGTCAGGCGACCGGGAATCGAGGCATGTTTTTCGTCACTTTGAGTACGAAACGTCCCTTCATTCCCGTGTTCGACTAAGTCCTATTCTGAACACAATGCAACAAACATATGGCATGCACAATCGACTTAAGTATGCAACCCTAATATG